CAAAGATGACATTGTTTGAGATGTCTTTGTTATGGGCTATGGTTAGGGGTAAGGGTAGGGGTAGGGTTAGGTCAAATAATGTCATATTTGCATTAAAAATGACATAACTGAGCGAATGACACTTAATGACAGTTGTCATAAACATGCATAAAACCTCCTTCATATTCATGACATGTGTCATGTCATGATTATGAAGGTGCCATGCCAGTCTTATGCACACCCCTTCAAGTAAAGTGTTACCGAATTTTTTAAAGAAATCCTCAATGATGAAATATATAGGGAAAAATAGTATTTTATTCTTATTAATTAAAATCATGAAACTTATACATTTTCACATCAATTTATTAAAAGTTTAACAAAAATTACAAGGTTAGGGCCCTATGAAATGTTTTATTTTTTCTCACCATATTATTTGTATCTTGTATTGTTACGAAATTCTGTGTTTTAGCATGTCTAATTATTTGAATGCATAAAACAACTTAATTTATAAATTTTAGAAATTCTCAGAAATTCTGTGTTGTATATTTTCATTTTTTCTGGTTATCAAATGAAGGCATAAAACATTAATTTAATTGATCATTTATCTTTTAATTATTGAAAATTAAGCAAACAAGATTTTTTGGCAAACAATGGGGATTTACTATTAAAATTAAAACATGGAAGAAATGTTTTGTGTGATTATTCCTTAAAAAATAATGTTTGTTTCATTTTAGTAGTAGTAGTAGTAGTAGTAGTAGTAGTAGTAGTAGTAGTAGTAGTAGTAGTAGTAGTAGTAGTAGTAGTAGTAGTAGTAGTAGTAGTAGTAGTAGTAGTAGGCTATGTACATTCTACTGAAAAATAGTTATACGCACAATGTCTTCAAACCAAACCGGACTTTTATTTTGACGGGCTGCCGTGAATACCTTTACAGTTCTGTGTATGAGATATGATGCTAGTTTTACTCAAATCAAACGCTAAAATGCTCATGAAATGACTCTCAGAGCAGTTCTGGAGATGTTGTTCATGTGTTTACGACCTCATTTAGTGAGACGGCAGACGCTGAAATCACCGCAAGTGTCAGGCGTGCTTCAGTATGTGTGTAGTAAATGAAACCGCGCGTCTGCGCCATTCATTAACCGAGACAGGCAGAACATGCAGGATTCATATTTAAATCAACTTTTGCGGATTAATATTTACAGATACTAGTCCATATCGTGATTTGATTTAAGTGTAATGACCTACTTTTGATTCATTCATTCAAAATTTGACAAATTCTGTGACATTCCGCGTTAAACTGTGAATTCTGTTTTTATGCCTGGATAAAGAGTACACTGCGTAATTTTCCCGCTTATCATGCGGCCACTTGCCTGATGTGAAGACAAAATATTTTACATACCACCACTTGTGAATGAGCCAGTATAATGCAAATATATCTGAAAGGTCTGCGCGGGGATATTGTAACACCCCTAGTAATATGGCATCAAAATAAAATTAAATAATAAAATGACAAAATAAATAAAAATGGCAATACTTCTTTAAATGTGGGTTAATGTAATAACATAACAGCAATTAATGACAGATTTTAAAAATATGTGTTAGCACTGGGATATATTAAGAGGGTAAATTTGACCTACAACTTTTGACCTACAGCCAAGGATGTAACCACATATCCAAGATTATGGGGAACAAATGCAACCATTTTAAGAATTATCGAATGAAAAAACAATTATGGTTGATAACTAATGTAAATATTAGATATCTGAATCTTTTATCTAATCTTAACAAATGTAAATATACAAACACATAAATGTATTCTTTCTTTACTCAGCTGGGGCTCAGTGATGCTGTATATCACACACACAGATGGTAGCAGTGCTGTGGATTCTCACTTCAACCTGGCCAGAGCACAGTGGGGAATGAGTGCATAAAACACCAGCACATCTTAAGCCAACACGACAGACCGACAGCAAACACATAGGCAGAACACCAGCTAACACCTTTTTTTTGCTATAATAATTTATTCTAACCTGCCTAATATACAGAGAAAAATGTAAGTAAAGCAAGAGTCTGATAACTGAAACAGCCACTGGCTGCATCTGATATGCATGCTTCCCTACCATATAGTAAACAAAAAACACTACGTGAAAAAAGAAAAAAAAAATGGCTGCAGTGCTGCACACTTGCTAGCTTCCTTTGTAAAAACTGTATATACTTTTTCTGTTCCTTTTTGACAAATTCAGAGAGTCATAATTGTCACAGATGTTGTCGATAGAGCTTAAGTTGTTTTTAACCCAGAATATTCCTTTAAGGCAGAAGATAAAAACAAATAATTGAACACAACCCCATGAGGATGGGGCTGCAGTAGCTGCACTAAATGAATAGATTCTTACAGTAACCGTGGAACAAATGCAAATATAATAGCAGAACAAAGTTCACAGGAAGGATAGGAAGGATACGGAAATCTTGTTCCTTCCACATTGGTAATACGAGGAAAGAGAAGTGGTTAATGTTACCAAATGACAGTATATACCACGCAACATTAGAAATGCATCAAGTGGTACAGATTTTCATCATCATTATTCGCATTACTTACACATAAAAGTGACAAAAAAGAGATGAACTTGCACATATTGGCTATTTTACAGCTTTAAATGCTGTATGTTGTTTAACAATATTAGTTCTGAGTTATGTGTTAAATAATGTTAAGCTGTTTGTGCACAGAAATCATTCGTTTAAAAATTATTTTAACTGGTAATAATTGGTTTGCATACAAACAATAACACTTTTATCCCAATAAAGCTTTAATAAATGCAATTCATTGGATTATCCAAAAAAAAAAAAAAAAGCAGAACTGCATGATTATTATTACAAATATCTATTGCAGAGCTGAATTATCACTGTCACATGATCCTTTAGAAATTATTCTAATATGCTGATTTGGTGCTTAAGAGACATTTCTTATTATCAATGTTGAAAACAGTTGTACTGTATAGGATTTTTTGTGGAAAAATATGGCGTTTTTTTTTTTTTTTTTTTTAGGATTTTTTTATAAATTAAAGGGGTCATAGGATGCTACATGCCCTTTTACAAGTTGTTAGAACTGAAACGTGTGTTGGCAGTGTGTGTACACAACCACCCTATAATGATAAAAATCCACCCAGTGTTTTTTTTTTTATCTCGTTAAATGTTTTCCTCTTTCTCAAATCCAGCCAATCTCAGATGCCTGTCTGTGTGACATCACACCGACAGGCCCCTCCCACGATAGTTTGATTGACAGCAGCGTTTCAGCACAGACTGGACTGGTGTCTTACCTTAGACCCGCCCTGAGTGAGCTGTCATCAGTCCGCCATTGTTTCACCGCCGGAGCAGATGTAGACAAGAATGACTCATAAGCGATTGAGGTGTTCTGTTGTTGGATGTAATAATGAACATAGCAGTCCTCATTTACTCCTGACCTCTGAGCCACTGAACTCGCAGTGGATTTCGTTTGTTTCTGAAAGGAATGCTCCCCCGATCTGCCTAAAGGCATCTATGTTCGCGCGAATCATTCATGATCCAGCCTCATCTACAGAAGAAGTGAATATATGTTTTGTAATGAATCTTTGCAAATCGCCTTTCCTAATAATCAGCAGAGCTCATTAACATTTAAAGGGAAATGCTACAAAAACGGCTTGATCTGAAAAGAGCTGTTTTGACAGGGTAAAAAAGGTGTTTTACACTACCATTGAGAAATTTTAACCAAACTATGTAACAGACTTTTCATTAAGACCCTAAAGAATCATATCAACTTGTGGAAAATGGGCATCATATGACCCCTTTAAATAAATGTATGCATTTAGCAGACGCTTTTATCCAAAGCAACTTACAGTGCATTCAGGCTATACATTTTTTACCAGAATGTGTGTTCCCTGGGAATTAAATCCACGACCTTTTGCGCTGCTAACGCAGTGCTCTACCACTGAGCCACAAGAACATTTAAATCTATTTCTTTCTTTGATAAATAGAAAGTTCAAAACAACAGCATTTATCTTTTGTAAAATTATAAATGTTTTACTGTCATTTTTTATCTAATTAATGCTTGCTGAATAAAATACTGTTCAATTCATTGGAATGTCCAACAAATAAGCATAACTGTATTATTATTTAATATATAAACCATTCTTAACTGAAAATCCAGTACAAATAACTATACTATGATACAACAATCTAAAATCAGTGATACTTTCAGATTTTGATCATACCATAAATCCCTATGCATAAATAATGAAAAAAAGGGGGGGGGGAAAACAAGCATTTGCAATGACACATTTACCAGCATTTAAACAAACAGGAAAGCAAAGCTGAACAGGTGAGGAACAGGAACGCAGACAGTCATACAGGGGGAGGGGCAAAAGAGAAGCAGTGCAGGTAAAATTAAAGCATACGACTGACCGTATGGTATCGCCGTGCAACGGGCGGCTTGCCGGCAGGATAGGGGTCTACGGTGTCGATGATGGTCTGTCTCTCGCCCTTCTGGTTGATCTTACGAAACCTTCGGCGGGACTGTCGGTGCGATGCCTGCCGCTGGAAATACTCCTCATTCTCATCCATATAGTCCACCTGCAAACGGAGGAGCAATTTGAGTAAGACTCCCTCTCTCTCTCTCTCCTCACCCCC